ATATTTTACAGTTCGTTCAGCATTACTGCTGCAATCTGATGCATTTGGAGGAGTTGTGACTCCATCGACACTATTTCACCCATGCAATGCCAAAGGCGACAAGCCCAAGCCATCACCACCACAAGCTCATCAAGGCGACAAGGTGTGCACTTTCATGCACCTCGTCAGTGATGATTGTGCAAAAGCGGATGTGATGCCGACGAGCTTAATGCTGCGCCAAGTTGGGGTCAGTGTAGGCGACACAGGAGCACACACTCTCGTTAGTCGGAACGTTAGAGTCACGCGTGTAGTGTCAATGGAGCTTGTTACGTACACAAACGGGTGTTGTGGTTGCGTGGATTGCATCAAAGGTGGTCGTTGAATTCGTTGGCGTGCTCTACCGGTAAGGCACGAGAGCGAGGAGCGAGGCTTGAGGGGGGGGCGAGGAGGGGGAGGTTGATGGACGGAAATCGGACACCTACTTGGAATAATTGAACGTGATAAGGTGCAGGAAGATGGATGACGTGGCAAGGAGGGGATGGGACGTGTGATAGTGATTTAATGTTGAATAGGCATTCTCACATGCAACTGTCAGCTGTAGGCGTATGTGGGTGGAAGGATCGACTTCGTCTTGGCTTCTACAGGATAGTGAGAAAGTGAACTGATTAAGCTTAACCTATTGCCTCATACCTCTTAAATATTTTTGCTGCTAGCACAATTAGAGTCATTTATAAGAATAAGCAAGTCAAAATTCGGAGTAGCAAATGTCCAGATCTTTACAGAAAAGAGGATATGATTTATACCAAAAAGATTTTTAACCGGCAAATCAATGCCGTTCGTACGATTTGTCCATCTGCCACCTGTTCCTTAGCTCTCTTAACAATAAGAATGATTAATACTGTATACAAATTTCATTTTAAATGTCATTTGTGCTCTGAGATTTGGTTGATAAGGGTAAAAGATTACGTCATGCAATCATTGGATTTAACAGCATTCACGGAAGTATTTGCGTTTGGAGGGATGAAAATTTCTGAAGGGTGAGTTCAACCAAAGGGTTTAATGTAGACATGTTGTCAAAAAAGAAGCCATTTTTTGTAGCCATTCCCTATTTGAATTTTTGATACTAATAAACCTGTCAATGCGAAGTGAGGAAAGAATTAGCTGGATTCCGCAGTTGTTTGTACATGCAACCTAAGTGGTCAACTTTCACTCTATAACTATTTCATCAGAAAGGTAAGAATTAGGAGTTAACACGAAGGGGAAAAGGTAAGATAAATAAAATATCGGGTGACATATTTGGAACAAAGTGTCTATGAAACTGTTTACAATGCTGCCTCACCTGACCTCAGCTTACATGTTTACTCGAGCGTGTTCGACGCTTGTCTCTTTCAGACATCTATATGCATGGAATGGGAGAGATGTAGTGAAGGCGACTACGCTCCAGAAACACGGTATTAAGGTGTGTGCTTAATGATGAAAATGCCTTGAGGCAATGACACTAGCGTAGGAGTTTTTGCGAACTTCGTTATCGTTACCATCTTAAACTCTTGTATTATACCCTAGTACTACGTCTCCTTTTGTTTTAAAGGCGGTCTCGGATGATTGCACTCCGGTAACGATGTTCTCATCCTCAAAATGATAGTGTAAATCCAAGCCTATAACATTTTTTTGCGTGCATTTGCGTCAGTAATCATTTCATTCATGTCAGCTTTGAGTTAGTCTATCAAGATGGGATGGATGGTCACGCATAATTACATGATTGTATGATTGAGTGGTAGCGGAATCTTGGATTCTTGCAAAAAAGCATAGCATAAATAATAGTTTCCATCACATTCAAATAAAAGTTGGTATACCAGAACGCCTTTGCCCATAAACATCGATGACTGCAGCAACAAAGTCGACACGCTATCAAAAGTTTCAGTCTAGTCGATTTCATGGAATCATTAGAGAGGGAAACAATTCATTGCCTTGCCTTGCTTTTCAAGTTCCTCAGCCTAGTATATTGACGTTTTTAGTGTCAGAAAACTGTCTGACAAAAGTTTATTTGATTAGATTTATGATCGAAGTACAATAAAACGAGGAAATTCAGTTTGCTAGAAAAGTGCTGGTCCTTTACCTGATGATAAGCGATGGCATAGACAACTCAACTCAGGTAAATGGATACTGCCCAAATCTTACAATAAGATTTACCTAACACCTTCGTATATCCCATTTTGTGTACAAAAGCACATAAAGACATCCCATTGGTAGGAGATGTCAGAATTCACGTGAGACTGTCATTACTCCTTTCATCCATACTGTTGCCCGACCTCTCACCGAGGGAAACTCACGTGTGACCGTGCTACTGACGGCGTCGTTGGTGCATGGTACGAATGATTGCTAAAATTTCTAAAACGCAAAACACAATTTTTATTGGCATCTTGACCTCTTTATCCCGTCTCCTCAATGCGAAAAGTGTTCATAATGTTTTTCGTTCCTATCTTCATTCAGTCTTCTCATTACCCCAAATTCAAAGATAATCACAAACAAGTATGTTTTTTTCAACCACTGTCAAGTTTGATTGCTGCTGGGGAACGCATTTATACAATACGTACCAGTATGAATTGTGTTGGAAGACACTTTGGGATGCTATCAATTACTAACTGTTCGAATAAATTCCACTGATCAGGATTTAAATACTGGAAATGTAGGGAATATAGTGAAGGTAATATGAATTTTGGCGACCGAGAACAAAAGTTTCAAACTCCAATTCAACTACAAACGGTAGGTAGTGCGCGGTCTCCACGACCAAATCACTGTGACCAAGTGTGGGGTGATATCGTTTGGTTTAAACAGTTACTGGGACGAGCAAATGCATAGATCGCTGAAATAATTTAGGAGTGAGGGGATTGTTGTCACCCACTTTGCCTATTCAGTGAGTTTTGACGAATTAAAATGCAAGATGGCAACGTCATAATAGCCGTTAACTGTGGAACGTAAAGCTAATGTCACTTCTTGACAAAAAGGAAGTCAATACAAAAACAATAGCACGCCGTACTGGGTGCTTACCCCCCCTGTACTTTTTTCTGTTTGTTTATACGCTGAGTCCCTCATCCATTTTATGGTGAAGACTGTCATGTTCTTCCCCTATTATTTAAAAAAACAAATGATATTCGACCGTAGTCTACGTGCTTGATGGCCCCATGACCTGTTAGGTGCGTGATTTATGTGAGCTATGGGCAAGTTAGGCGGTAATTGATTCCCTACTTCCATATTGTCCTGAGACCATATCTTAGTCACGTTTTCAAATAGGCACCCTATGAACTGAGAAGCAGCTGCAAATCGAACTGTCAATCATAAATTACTTCAAATCTGCACATACTAGGAGGTCGACCTTCAAGTATTTAATGCCCTCTTTCCCTCAGACAACTGTCATTCCTTTTGACTGTACTGTTTGGCATTGTTTTGTGAGTCCAGTAGTCACTGCCTACATGCAAAGTATCCATAGTTTCGTTCCCTTAGAGATAAAAATAATAGGTCTTGAGAAATGATATCGACAAGATTGGGGCTTTGAATGAGTTCGCACAAAGTATTTGAGAATCTTTATGACATTAGAGTTTAGCTCATCACGGTAAATCGTGTACGATATGCTTTGCATCAAGTTTCATTTCTCTAGTCGCCTATTGCTCTCACTTAAGTAAACTAAAGTCATGAACTTCTTGGCTGTGAGCCTGCACAACTAAACAACTATTCGTTGTCGCTATTTTGTTAATTAGTAAACCTCACATCGTCCGCTTCCGATAATATCAGCGCTGGGCCAATGGCGAGTCCAAGTGTTTTCGTAATGTAGAGAAGTTCCCATTTTTGGAAATGCACAAAGAGCGTCTGGCACCTTAAGGCGCTGGTGGGTTTGGGGTAGGGAGGAGTTGCACCTGTGGTGAGAACGAAGCCGAAAACGATTCGTCACCTTCGCAGACAAGCCAAAACGCGCCAGATAGACGTTATGAGTGTAGGACATATGTCAACGCCGTCGTTGGAGTCCTCTGTCGAATGCAAAAAATCGATTGTCCATGGAGTGCGCGACAGCACAAGTCAACTTAACACCTCCTTCGGGCACGTGTTTGGCGTGGATTGGTTGCTTTGATGAAATGTAGAACTCTCCGCTGACATAAATTGAAATAGCTGATAATGCACTATTGCGTAGAATAAACCTAATTGCATATTGGTTAACAATAATTCGCCAGAACTTTTGTTTAACAACATCATTAACGCATCATCAATAGATGCATAAATTTCTGCCATTAGATCGGCTGTATATTTATAGCGCCAAAGAAGTATGTGTTGAAAATAGTGGTGCATGCTACGTAGACTTTGCAACAGGCTCAAGCTATTCAGGTCGAAATAGTAGGAGTTCTAACCGTTACGCAGTTTTGCTATACTAATTTAAACTATTAAATGTCAACATAGACAGGTTGGCTGGTAATCTTGAGTTGATCCAGCCCAGGAAATAAATCACCTCCCCAAATGTCTGCCAGATCACTGCGTTTGTTGTTCCAAAAGCAGAGAATGAAAGCGCGATACCAGAACGACGAACTTCCATCTCATTGGTTCTGCCATCCTTCAGCATGACTGGTGGACGGTGACGCATCGACAATGACCAATCAGTTTAGAAATAGCCCCTAGTATAGGTCCCACCGCTTCCCGAATGCTCAGTCCTTCGTTGCTTTGGTTTCGTGCGTTTTATCTGTCTAATGATTCCTCAATGCAACCGAAACATTATCTCCACATCATCTGCTAAAAAATTGCAGGTAGGTTTGTTGTTCGGTGTTCCGCATGCTCAATTTTGAGTTCGTCCGATGCACTATGGCTCTGCAAGAATTCTGCAGTTCTGAAACGCTTTTTCTTGAAAGGATACTGTCATCGCTTATGCTGATCGTCTTGCTGCAACAACTCCAGCTATTGATCTCGTAAATTTGTACAGAAATCAGAGGCCACAACAGTTCATCGATCTTTGCAAATTTCACCTTTCTCTGCTGGTTGAGTTGCCGGTCGACTTTAATAATTACGATCCTCGGCTGTACAATGAAATGGAATTTGCCGACGACGCCGCGGGTAAGCACAGGAGAAACCGACCTTGGACACGATTAACCAGCTCCATGGGTCAAGGGCATAAAACTGACTTATCAGCTGGCGGTAAGTGCATTCTAGGTGCACTTATTACATTGGTTCTTTCTGATCGTCATCTCTGCTTCTGCATTACATCCAGATTTGCCTGACTCGCCGAGAACTCCGAGTCCAAATGCAATTTATGAAAATGTTGTGAAACTTATGGATCATTTATCAACGAGTGAAAGTAAGTTGTTTTGAGTTGGGTTTCCTCAGACGAGCTCGTAAATGTAAGACGTCCCTTTTCCCGTAGACCTAAAAATGGAGATGATATTTCGGAAGAGTGGAAACATAGTTCGCCAAAGGGAGCTGAGTAGGTGTATCCTTTCTGGAATGGAAGTCTCCTTTCCCGTTAATTTTGTGAATATCGATGAATACGCGGTAGCAAATTTGTCATCCTCTTCGTCAGCATTCTCATGGAATCGGAAGCCTCGCAGAAGCTTGTTCAAGGTCCAGGCAGGAGTATCTGATGTCAAATTTGGTCCTTTTGAAGAGCTTAAGGGTCATGATTATGCCAACACTCTAAAGAATGTGCTTCGGGAAATGCATGACCCAATTCTCACCCGGGAGCTCCTTCCTATTTTTATATCAATATCGAGTATGCTGGACTTGGTTACTTGATTCTATTGCTCACCATCAGATCCTAAACCAAAGTGTTTATTCTTTACAGAGATCACTTCAGGAAACACTAATGATGAGGGCGTGCAAGTGCCTTTAAGTCCTGCGGACCTTCAAGTGGCTCAAGCTAAGCAGCTAATGGCGATTCGGATTCTCCGCTTCTTTCTTCCTGAGAGAAATCAGAGACTTTTGCGTCGGCTTCTTGACCTCCTAACTGAAACACTAAGCTATGCGCAGTTCAATGGAATGTCCGCTGAGAGTTTGGGCACAATTTTTGGACCACTGCTCCTTGCTCCAACCTGTGTAGGTTTATTTATTCGCTTGTTAATTCAACCGATGGGGTGTGTAACCGTAGCGCGCCTTATTTTAGTATCCCAATTCCGACCTGCACAAGCAGTATGATTTACTGAACAGTCTCACCACTCTAATGGTCAAGCAGGGCTCTGAAGGAGTGTTTGGAGTCCCAGTGGCTCTCGCTGACGACATTGACCGAAACTTGGTGTCCGACGGTCTACTAAATGTCCGTTCCTCTTCAAAGGATTCCGGGCTAGACACTTGTTCCACAACCTCCTCTGGTCATGATGAGAATGCAAAAGGTGCTCTCTCCACAGGCTTGGTGTTCGTCAAAAAACCAAGCAAGAGTTGGAATGAAATTAGAAGTGGTCTGTGTAATGTTGGACTATCGATTACAGAGTGTGCTGTGGCCGAGCTGTGTGCCACTGTGCAGGCTCTACCCGACTCCGACCCAAGGAAGGCCCGCCTGGTGCAGAGGATAAATAACTCAAATGGTGGTCTGACACCGCAAATGCGTAAACGATTAAGGGGTGTACTGTCGCCTCCCCCTTTATTCACGCGTCCAGCATCATTTCATCGTCTAGAGGCCCCTTTGAATGGGGTTGGTTTAAAGTTGGAAGGTTCTCCAGACGTCATAAGTTGTAATTAAGGAAGTATTTATTCCCTTTTGTAGGTTCTTAGCGTGGCTTTAGAGAAGCATCCCCTTTCTGGATCACTGGCAATGGAAATGAATGGCGGTATTGGGAGTGAGGTTCATGCGACGCATTCCTCGTCGAGTCTGAATGCGGATAACGTCACTTCATTGTGTTGCCCGCTTTTTTCCATCCTCTCTTCCACCACCCGATTGGCTAATCAACAAACAAAGCAGGTTCGCCGAGAATACAACTCGCACAAGCAACTTGGGGCTATAGGGAGCCCGGTTTTCGATGATATGGGTGCTCCCATAGCCGGGAGCAGCCATCGAAACCCTGGGATCAGGGCTGCTGGCAAGATCAGCCATACAAAAACCATAATGGCGACTCGTAGGCACACATACTTGCAGCGTATGCGTGTGCGAAGAAACTACAATCGAAACAAAATCGGAGGGCTCTATGCAACATCCATAACGTCCAGTAGTGCAGCTCCCAAGGAATCCAAGACTTCCATGTAATATACACTTTTCTTTTTTGAATGTTTCAGAATATTTTGCTTCGAAGTTTGATTATGTAAATAAATCTCTGATTTCATGTATTAGCTTGTTTTGCACAAAGGATTGAGAGTTGAGGTCTTAATCCGGTGGGGTTATACTTCTTAATCTGGGTCTTGTTTACAGGGTCCGGGTTTACCGGATGTGAGGTGTGATGCTTTGGGGGTTAAGGTCACGGGGGTTGGATTTTGAGTTGTTCCGGCATCTGGGAGAGAGTCTTCACATCTGGAGTCAGTGCTAAATTTTAGATGAGGATTCCACAATCGAAATTCTCTGGTTTCACTTTTGCTTCTATAAAGCTATTCTCTTAGATGCAAGCTTAAGGAATTGTCAGTGTGCCGGGAAAGTTCCGTATATTCCGTTGTTTTGCGCTTCATTTTGAACCATTGAAAATATAAATAAAGCCTCTGATTGTTGGCGGATAGTATTTCGAAAGCATTTAGCTTCATTTCGGCCATAATAAAAAACCCAATGAAGCATAAATACAGTTATTTGGATGTTAATTCTTACATCATAGTCGGAAACTCGATCTTACCACCATTTTAAAGGTTCCTGGAGTAAGGTGAAATAGCTAACGTTCAAGCTCGTTATTACCGGCATCGCGGTAATTGATTTACTGTTAGTGGGGTGACAACTGTTGCGCAATACGTAGTCTTGTCAAAGCTAGCGCCTCATTTTAATTACAGACTAGGGGGTGAAGGTTCATCTTAGTAGCCATGTCGCTAAATTGTGCAGCTGACTCGTTTGACGTAACACCACCACCGCCACGTCACGCACCATAGCAACAATAATGTTGGAGGATATAACGGTGTCTCAGCAACTTCCCCAGTTCGCCTTACTCTCCGACTTATAAAACCGTCTCCTTAGCGCACGTGGATCCAAACGCCCGAACACAAGCGAAATAATATACACAAGTTGTCGACAAAAGATCCAAATCCCTTGTTCTAATAATTTATAAAAGCATCATTTGTGTAACGTATCACATAAAGTTAGAAAAACATCAAGTGGCCAAAATTTGTGCCAGAAAACTGAACCATTGGAATTTTTATTGGTCGGTAGAAAACTAAGATTTTGGGATGGTTTGTAGGACTATTGGAGTGGTGAAACTGGAATAAATTTCGCTTAACACTCAAGTGTCCGGGCTTCTATAGATTTTTTACTATAGTTACCGTGTGCATAACGAGACCTGCTAAATAAAAAAATGGCTAATTTGGACTCACTTCCCCAATATGGACTATTCGCCGTTGTTAAACACATTTATTATTTAAAAGCTATGTCCATTTCTGGAGTAAATCCCTTTAAAGTGAACTGACAACCAAAATGGGCTGTAAATTGAATTGCCGTTCCACTTAGAGGTTTACCCATTACCTCATTGTTTGACTTAAAAAAATGAATTGTGAAATTATACATGAGCCCTCTGGGAATCCTTTTCACACGAGTCATCGGCATTTGTTTAGTTGCCGACCTGGCAACGGTGGCCGTCATCAGCCCCTATACCGTCGCTGAGGCGCAATGGTGATGCTGCGTCAAACAAATCACGTTCACAAAGTAGAAAACATCAATCATCGGTTGGTGAGACATTTACCACCACTACTTTATTAGTAGGTGCACCTTCTATTAGGCTGAAACTGTACAACAATTACTTGCTGAGTTATTCACTACAATACTTTATTTTTTTGACATAATCCACAATAACAAATCAATGCCAGTTAATGATAGTTGGAGGCAGCCATTGCTCAGAAGTGATGCCAATAAGGGCAATTCCCAAGCCTTTTGTTTTCACAGCCCAATTAATGAGTGCGGAACAGCAAATGTGTTGAACCAAAAAGGCTACCACAACAAGCATAAGCTTGTCTGGTCTAGCAGTTGCCTAGAAAAAAAGCTGAAAGCTAAAATAAGTTGACAGAATTTAAACTTCTCCTTGGTTCTCGTGAGGAGGAATGCAGGTCCTTCTGATTGATCGCAAGAATCTCGACTTTTGATTGTACGGTATACCTTGAATGGCTAGTTGATTTTCATCAGTTCGAATCAAGCAGGTTGCGCATTACTGAGGAGACATAGAATTCGAAAATAAGTAGTCGGAACGAACTTAAAACACATGGATACGACATGATTAAAATTAAGATGCACAACCCTACAGGTAATGTTTACGGTGCTTAAATGAGGCGATTCCGAGGCACAGCCTCAAAGTTTACGCCTAGGGGCAGATGGGAGATTAAATAGTAGATTTTACTGCTTGATTTCCATGTGGAACTAAATGGAAGTGCAAAGGTAGCACGGAAGAGGCAGGAGCCCAGGGTCCCGGTCTGCCAGATGGAGTGACTAGAGTAAATCAACATCGCGAAAATACGCCCCTTTTTTATGAGCGCTGCACGCTGTAAAGGTTCATTTCTATCAGCGAATGTTGGTCATGCCACCTCACACAAAATATGTTCACCATTAACCTCTCTATTTTGAAAAATAGAAAACAGTACTTTTTTAGTCAGAAAGCATTTTGTATCATATACCGAACGCTCTCCCATTCGACCTACTACAGAAGTATGTGGTGGTATTTATTCTAGAATAGAGCCATTAATCCATTTGAATGTGTCAAAACTTTGATTTGATGAAACGCTTTCATTTACCACAAGCTACTATCAGTTCTTAAAGTCATTAGAAAGCTGATTTTATTTTAGATATAGTCAATGAATCTCCTAAACATGGATGTCTGATATGAGGGTCTCCAGGTGAACAAAATCGCATCCATGTAAGCACTTGCCATTGTGATAGCTCAGCTTACGAGTCCACCCGCACAACAGGTAATCAGTTAACCCATAAGCAGGACCAGGAATAATCTCTGCCTTTCCGTGTTTATACCATTACAACCCCACTATGCAGGCTCTGATGACGGTCCGATAATTCAGTGATTGATGGTTGTGCCTACTCCGCTTAGGGCTAAGACTACAGCGGAATTGATGCCGGAGTAGTGCATTGTGAACCTCGCTGCGATCATACCTCCATCTTTTTATGCTTCTCCGTCCACAAAGGCCTGCCTGCCAGGTGGGACCGCTGCATCACATGGATGCAGATGACACATATTTGCAAATCTTCGTCTGACTAATGGCGTCGCATCCTCCTTCTCACATACCTTGGCAATTGTCCTGTGGGGACCTGGACACCAATGGAGGTGTCTAGTCTTTAATGATAAAGGGCTAGGACATGCTATGAAGAACACAAATTCCAGACTTTTCATGCACGTGGCCTTAGGGATACATCCATACAGATTTGAAGCTTACCACTTGACTCGAGCCACTTTAACTGGCGGTTATGGTTCTAATGCATGGGTTGATGGTTAGGTATATAAATATTCATTGAAACAATTGAGTGAACAAGTTAAATAGTTAAAATCCATGTTTTCGTTCTTGCACAAAATTTCTTAACCGTTTTTAACTAACTGCATTGCATGTGAAGTAAAACCATACTGTGAAGGCATTTAGAAAGGAGCAAGCGGAAAAAGAAGCATCCATCAAAAAGCAACTGCTCAAAATTTACTTCCATTTAATGGGAAGTTCTTCAGAACAAAGGTGATAGAATGAAAAAATTTATGAGATTCCACTTAAGTTGGATATATCACAGCGCGAAGGACTAAAATGGTGAACCAAGTTTAGTTAGTTGTGCATACCTGAATAACATCTCAAAATTTATTCTGACTTAATAGTTTCTTGAAGATAATTTTATAACTTCGGAATAAGATTTACTGACTTTTTGGTAAAGTTGGCTACCCCACTATTGTGCCCTTTCTTTGAAGTAATCTCGCATCAGAGGCAAAATCCCATTTTTAAACCTTGGCTGATGTTAAGTATAACCAAGAAACTTTTAGCAAGCTAAGTAGATCTTTGTTAATGGTTAATGCCACTTCAAAAAATGGTGTCAATATGCAGAATAAGCCTCAAGAATCCATCGTGAAAGCCATTTTCAGCCTTGGTGTTCCATTTGTCATCAAAAGGCCAAGCTGTGCCGAATGGTGATCTGAGGCCTATTAAGAATCAAAATTTGAGTGTCGGTCCAAGGCTCTCAAGATGGGAGGCGGCATTGGCTGATCAGGCACTGTTTAAGTAAATTTATACATTATGCTAGGGTGTTGAGTTGAGTTACTCAACCAGTTGTACACGAGTTGCCTCAGAATGTTTTTGCATTAAAAAGGATTAAAGAGCTCAGACAGCACACAAAGTTTCACTTAATGGTAAAATATACGCTTTACTTGCAATGCTATTGCAGCGAAAGTAAAAATTTTATTATGGACGTTACAGTATTAACAGGCAATTTTTAGATTATGTTCTAGTAATGCCTTGCTAAATTTTACTTAGCGAAGAGGATGGTCGATCTTCCCATAGTGAAGGCTTTCGGAAGCCAAGCAATGGGATCGTTTAAGGCCATGAAGTATATGGGATCTCCGAAACCACCATTTCGCTTAGCAACAATGAAAACTAGTGCAATAACTTCTTACCGACCATTCAGATAAAATTGATGATATCTATGTTAAAAGAATGCAAACTCTTCAGCCAAATAACCACCTCCTCAAATCTACTTTCATTTGCAATCATTTAAAAAAACCAGTTGCTAAGCCCTTATGAAACCGAAAGAAATGGCAGTAATTCAATGACGTCTTGCACGGAGCCAGATTATCGAAGTTACATTTATCAATCACTTAAGAGTTTATAACCCTTAAGAGTCTCCAAATGACGACATCCGGTATGTATGTGCTATTTCTTTGTAATAAGTTGACTTCAAGCCTTGTTTTCTCAAAGTGAAGCGACAATAATAGAAATCACCTTGAACTCGTCACTCTTTGAAATTTTATTCTTGCATCCGGCAATAACTGCTCTAATTTTAGCTGATAGATACATTGGTTCATTTACAACGTACTCTAGCTGGCGTCGCATAAGAAGACCTACACAATTAGTAAGAGACAGCACTAAATGGTA